TCGTAGCCGGTTCAGTCCTTGCCGGGGAACTATCACTCATGTCCGCACTGGCAGCTGGGCAACTAGTCAAGAGCCATATGAAGTACAATAGGTCAAGTAAGGATGCTTCCAACACTGCTTCTTAGAGAGCACTTAAATCATATATATATATGATGGTGATGATGATGAAGATAAAGGGTTTTGTTAATTAGCATTAAAAGATTAGTGTAAAAGTTGCAAATCCCATAGTTTAAACTGTGTTGAAAGGTAATGGGATAGATATCATATGTGTGTAATTTTCTTTGTATCTTGTAAAATCGCAGAATTGTTAATTACCATATTGTAATCTTCTCCAAGTAGATTCTACATATTGTAATCTTCTCTGCCATATTTATTGCATCATAATTCCAATATTCGAATTCAAAACAATCGTATCTTATTAGAAGTGAATCAAACTTATATTTTATAGATCATGTTATTATATGAATATGCATTTGTTAAGGGTATACTTGGAAGTTTGTCATATATTTTGTTTTCTTATATTTTATCCCACTCCACACAAAAGATTTATATTTTATCTATATTAAAATTAAAATCTTTGCTGAATTTGAAGTCATAAGGTGAATTTGAATTATAAATTTTTTTTAACCATGGCAACCAAAACGCATTAATCAAAATTACAACGCACTAAAATATAGAGAGAAATCTAGAGATAATAGTCATCAAAATACTCGTACAAAAATAAAATATTAAACCTAAAGATACAAAAAAAAAAACTTTCCAATAAGAATGATAGGGGTGCTTATCAAGCGAGTCGATCGTGAGTTGAGCAGTGCTCGACTCGTGCTCGTTAAAATTTTTTGTTGCTATACTCGACTCGTTGCTCACCTCATTGCTAGTTAAGCTCAACGAAATTTTTATCTTATTTTTTTAACTATAGGTAAAATATACTAATATTATATAGAGCTTAATATAAACATAAACTAATAAATTTAACCCAAAAAAGTTACCAAAAGTAGGGGTTAGCATTCGATCGAGTCGAGTAAAAAAATTCGAGTTATTCGAGTTGACGAGTTGTATTTTACAACTCGAACTTAACTTGAAATTTTTTCAAGTCGAGTTTAAGAAATTTGAGTCGAGTTATTGGAGTTTCTATAGTAATTTTATTATAATTATTTATAGTATTATAAAAATGATTTGTTGCAATTTTTTGACTTTATCTAACCATAATATATATTATATTCTTTCATATTATAATATTATTTAATCTATCAAATACAATCTAAAATTATGAAATATATTCATAATATTATATTTTAAAGAAAGTATTTTGAGGATAAAATATTGAAGAGAGTATAAATGAGTCAAGAAATTGATGAGAAGAAAGAATTTGGAAACAATTGTAGTCAAAAGATAAAATTGAGTAAAATGTAAAGTTAATGGAATAAATAAAAAAGAGATTACATCTTTAGTAAAAATAAAAATTGAAGTTACATATGTATTCTATTGTGATATTTGAGCATGTGGTTCAACTTTGGTAAAAATGGACTTAAAATAAATCACGAATTGAAGGAACAAGGAGATTATAAAAAATTGAAGGACTAAATTGAAAAATAAAAAAAATTGTTATCAAAAAGATGAATTAAAAGTACACATGTATTATATTATGGTTTAGGAGCATGCGTCTCAAATTTGATAAAAAAAAAGGACTTAAAGTAAATGAGGAATTGAAGAAATAAGGAGATTATGAAAATTTTAAGGACTAAATTGAAAAATAAAAAAATTATCAAAAAGAGGAATTGAAAGTATACATGGATTCTTCTATGGTTTAGGAACATCTGGCTCAAAATTTGGTAAAAAATGGACTTAAAGAATTGAAGAAATAATAAAATCAATGACTAAATCGTAAAACTGTCAAAATACATAGTCAAATTTTTGGTTTTTCAAGTAACTCGAAAATCAAAATTGCAATTTGACTGGAACTCGAAAACAGAATTTATAATTCAACTTGACTCGAATAATTCAAAATTGAAAAAAAATCAATTTTTTAAATTGAGTCGAGTTTTGCTCACCTCAAACAAAAAAAATGTTGCAACGAATTGAAAGTCCAAAGTCCAAAATAACAACCCACAAATATATTAAAATAATAAGTAAGGTTTGTTTTTTTTGTGTAGTAAAATAATAATTATTAATTAGTCATTTAATATTTTTTTATTTATTAAAAAATTAATAGATTAGTCATTTATCAATCTTTTTATTATATATTAGTAAATTAGTAAATTTTTTAGTGAAATAATTTTTTAAAATAACTACTAAAAAATTATACTCATCAATCCCATAAAATATGTCTATCATTGACTTTTTTGTCAAATTTTTAAAAATTTGACTAGTTATTGTTTAAAATTTATTATTGATACAAAATATGTAAAAATATATTTTAAAAACTTTGAATAAATAATTTTCAAATATATATTTTTATAAAATCTAATTATTTGAAATATTTAAAATAATGATGGTCCAAATTTAAAAAAAAATACTTTTAGAAAGTCAATAATGGACAATTTTAATAGGATGGAGGGAGCAAAAATCTTAACAAGTTGCTTACGAACTCATCGAGTTAAGTTGGAGTTTGCTCGATTCATCTTGTTAAAGTCTCGAGTCAAGCTCGAGTTTGAGTTGAGTGAATCCGAGTCGAGCTTTTATCAAGTTTTGATTGAGTCGAGTTTAAACTGCTTACAAACTGCTCAACTCATTAAGCACCCCTAAGAATGACGAACAACATTAAATCTAATAACATTCATAAAAACTCATTGTTTTTGTCGAATAAGACATTTTACGAAGTGATAAAGGAGTGGTGAGTGAACCAAACAATCTTGTAGATAGCTTCGCTACACAATTCTGATTACATCGACAAATAACTTTTTACCAAATAGGAGATCTGACTATATGTGACCATCGATTTATTTGTTGAGTTTTAAAATATACTCTTAAAATAAAATATATAAAACTTATTAATTGAATTCAGTAGTTAAAATGTGTGTCATTCTTTTTAGAGATCTTGAATTCGAGTGGTTGAATAATTAAAAAATATTATGAACATATATTATCTTATAACCATCCACGCTATTTAAAAAATAGATTTCAATGGACTCGATATTTGAAAATTTTATAATTAAATTCTAATGAACATTTTATAGTATTATTCTATTTTATTTTACACTTTCAACTTTGTTAGATCGAGGTGATTTTCGTAATTTTTTAGATCTATCAGATATAATCTTTGAAAATTACTAGATCTCCATCTGGCAAGGTCTTTAAACAAACCTCCCCACTTGAACTTTCAAAGAGTCTGCACCTTTTGTTTTATAGGTATTCGAGTCTACTATAGTGCATAAATAAGACTTTTTATTGAATCATATCAACTATCAAAAAAAAATTCATGATATGATAATAAGGGGATGTTTGGTTTAGATAATATAAAATTATCGGAGAATGAACATTCTTCCATTTGGTTGACTAACATTCTCAGCTTTCGTTAATATTTTATTATTAACTGTGGTATTTTAAAAATATATTATTGGGAATGTGATTACTTCCCTTCCTTTAAGTATTATTGGATTATCGACGTTTTAGACTAAAATACCCTTAATTTGTTTTTCAAAAATATCATTCTTATGTCGTTAAATAATAAAAATTCTACGAATGTTAAATTACAAATTTATCCTTAAACTATTTTAAATTTACAAAAAAATCCATAATTAAAATTTTATATGAAGTTCAAGAGTTAAAATAAAATTTTACCCTTTTATTAAACCTATTTATCTTTTTAATTTTATAAAAAAAAATTATATAAATTTTATGAATTTAAAATTTAAAAATATATATATATATATATATAAATTAATTATAATAATATTATAATAAAATTTAATTTGTTAAAAAAATAAATATATAATAAAAAACAAAAAGGATAAGAATAAGATACGTTGCCCTGACTGGCGAGTTCCCATGATGCGAACACTCCCCACGTGTCTGACACGTTGGGCAGACGTGGATGCTGCATTTGACTCATCGGTTATTGGGATTTAATCATTTATTTATATATATTATATTATAATCATTTTTGTTTTTTAATAATCGAATTATATTACAAAAATATCTCAGTATTGTTAATCCCTCCAAGCAAATCTAATCAACTCTAAGGCTGCAACTCCTCGCAAAAGTCAAGGTATGTTTTATGAATTACTATATCTTTTTATAATTATAATATTAAAATTTAAGTATAACAAACCCAAAATGACAAAGAGTTTATATAAAAATAATCTAATTACATAAATAAAAAATTATTCTAAACCCATTTGTAAAATAAAAAGAATCATACGTTAAAAAGTAAAAAATTAACCAATCAAATCAAATAAATGATAGATAAAAAATATTATTGCGACAATGAAATATAAACATCATCAACATTAGATAAAAACACATAAAAAATGACGATTTATTGGTAAATTAACATCATTTCAACTCAATTGAGATTTATCTTTTAATTAAGGGTTTTAAGTCGTTATTGATATGATGATTAAATAAGCCTATCGTAGTTTTAGAGAGATAACATCAAATTTAACCCTAACAAAAAAAAGAAAAAACATGTTACAAGAGTAGACAAAAATATATTGCAAATTTCATACGAAAAAAGGATGATTAATTTACAAATATATATATATATATATAACATAGAATGTATTTAATATTATTTTTTTCATTAAATGATACAAATTGTAAGATAATATATGTACGTAACTATCTTAATTAATTGACAACATATGTTTATGTAAATATAATTATTTGAATTCGAATTATTTAAAGATAATAAATGTTTCTTTTTATTATGAAGACTATTTAATTAATTTTTATATTCATATTACTTTTAATAGTTTAATAATTTACATTAATTACCCTTTTCATATTATACTCACTTAACACAATCCCAATATGGAGAGGTGTAACTCTCTATATGGTAGTCTCATGCCTTGCTTGTCAACAAAGCATTCTTCTTTAGCTTTAAGCTTTTACCATTGAATACAAATTTTCTGTCCCTCTTTTCCTCTCTTTGCTTCACTCTTTTGTTTTCCCCAGAAAAAAGAAGAAGAAGAAGAAGAAGAAAATCAAAGTCTCATTGAATCCATTCAAAGCTCCAGTTTCAGACATTCAAAATCAAACCCATAGATTTCTTCTTTGCAAAGATCTGGATCTGGGTATGGAGGCAGAGCTTAAGCTTTTTTTTTTCTTGAGTTGAAAAACGTGTTAAAGTTCATATTTATGAGAAAACCTAGCCTTTATTTGCTGTTTTTTTTTTAATTTTTTCTCTTTAATTTCCCAGTTTTAATCGAAGTATCAGATCGGAAGTTCGATATTATAAGTGTCTGAAAGTGGGATTTTTAGCGATGGAATCGGGCACTGATTCTCGTTATGTTCATCAGCTGCTCGGAAACTCGCCGGAAAAGCCAGGAACCGATCATCCCGACCCAGTAACCACCACAAGCTCCGGAGGAGGAGGTACGACTCCTGCAAGAAGGCCACGTGGACGTCCGGCGGGGTCGAAGAACAAGCCGAAGCCACCCGTAATCGTTACTCGCGACAGTCCGAACTCACTGAGATCCCACGTGCTCGAAATCTCGTCCGGTTCGGACATAGTTGATTCGGTTTCCGACTTCGCACGGCGGCGAGGTCGTGGAGTTTGTGTACTTAGCGGAACCGGTGCCGTCACGAATGTTACAATACGGCAACCGGGATCTCCACCTGGAGGCGTCGTAATATTACATGGGCGGTTCGAGATTTTATCTTTAACCGGGACTTCTCTTCCACCGCCAGCGCCGCCGGGATCCGATGGATTGACGGTTTATCTCGCGGGTGGTCAGGGTCAAGTAGTCGGTGGGAGCGTGGTGGCTCCGTTAACGGCTTCCGGTCAGGTTGTATTAATGGCTGCATCGTTTGCCAATGCGGTTTACGATAGGTTACCGCTTGAAGAAGATCCACAACAACAACAACCCGCGGCTTCACAATCGTCTGGATTGACTGGAAGTGGCAGCGTAAGTGGAAAAGGTGGTGGCGCGACCGGAACCGGTGGCGGCGGCGTTCCTTTCTATAATTTGGGATCAAACATGGGAACTTACCCTTTTCCAGGTGATGTATTTGGTAATTGGAGTGGTAGTACTGCAACAAGACCTTTTTAATGTTCACTATGAATCAAAATCAAATGATTATTTGAAAAAAAAAGCAATGGTTATAAGTTCTCTTTCTCTTCTTTTTCCTGGGATTTTCTTACTTCCCAAACAGATGATTAATTTATATATGAACAATAGAGATTTTCTTAAACTATATACAAATATATATTTTTCTAGTGCTGCCTTCAAAATTCAAATAATCTTCACAAATTTATAGGAGTACTTGGGAAGAGTTGTTATTAATCATTTGAATTTAAATTTAATTTTTATCATTATTTTGCATGTATGTGTTGAATATTAAGAATTAAAATAATATAAATGTATACAGTTTTAATTTATTTATAACTCGATATGTATAATTTATTTAAGTAAAAGTAGAATTAATATATAGTTGTTTCATTTGTCACATATATTATTATATTAGGGTTTGGGAAAGCATGAAATATCATAAAGAAAACCCTAAAATTCTTTTTTTTAACCCTAAAATTCCTAAAAGTGGAAATGGGAGAAATTTTAGTTTTTAGTTTTGGGACTTTAAAAACATTGGAAACAGATAAATATATAAAGGATGCTGAGAAAGAAACATTAGAACACATTCACTAGAATAAAATAATATAATTAAAGAATAAAACTTTAACAACTAAATAAACGTACGAACATTTCATTTATATCTTATTCTTAATATATATATATATATATATATATATATATATATATGGATGGACCTACAAGGACATATGGGGTGGTTTCTGTTAGAGGTATAATAATCTGAGATGAAAAAAATAAAATTCAAATATTTTATAGATCCACAATTTGCTTCCGTGGTGAATCATTCAAGTTGCGGCAAACGACATTCAATTCCTCATAAGGATCTTGTTGTAAAATTCGTATATATGAATCAAGAATAAAAAACACAATTAATAACATGGAAAATATTGATTAAATAATTTGAATAGAAAACCATAAATATATGAATAGAAATAAGAGGAGGCCTGCAATTACACAGTTTCTTTAAGACATATTTTTGGTCACTTTATAGTATTGAGATCTTTGTTCATCTATCTCCCAGTATACAACAACAAAATGATTAGTTGACAGTAGCACAACTGTCTAGATTATGAACTATTCATTTTCTTCGTTTATCACCGAAAAACTAGAGGAGAGTAAAATATTTTTGAATAGTTTTTGAGTTGTTTTCAATTATATTTAACCTAGTAGGTTAACACAATATTTATAAGGATTTCACATTGTTGACAATTTTTGACCTAATGAATTATTAATGAGAATCAAATAATTAAGCAGTTTCCAAAATTATTGTTTTGATTAAAGGATCTTTTTAATATTTATCCTTTTAGTTCCAAAACAAATTTTGAAAATATGTGCTCTATTTGAGGAAAAAATATTTCACATTTGGGTTAAAATATCCGCGAGCGCACAAAAGTCTGATCGGTTCGAACGTTAATATTACCCACATTGTGCACGTCTGTACATGTACGAACCAACAATTGGTTTCTCATTTTCCTCAACAATGTTTGGATCAATTTCTCATTCAACGCTCCAAAATTATCGAATTTTTCCAACAATCCCCTACATAAATGAAATTGATCATTTTATCAAAACCATTTTGACTCGATGTGGTGATAGACTCTACGATTGATAAGTGCATAAGATATGTAGGTATCCTCCTTTGAATATTCCCTTTTGAAAGCATATTTACTTTACTAACTGACCGATAGAAGTGATGTCCTTGAATTGTTCTGCTATTTGTGTAAACGAAAACTACTTCATACAACTACCCTCTGACAAGAATTTTAGTTCTCATGTGTATGTCCTTAAAGCTATAGACATCGCGTGGTTCTGCAAGATTTTGAAATAACTAAGCCCAATAGTCTCCTTGAAGTGACCCTAATAGTCTCCTTGAAGTGACCCTATTTCACTATCACATAAGTGACTTATGTTGCTCGACTCATCGAAGCACACAATGATCATTAAAAGTTTTGCTTAAGCTATACCGATTTGATCATTATTTATATCATATGAATGGACTTGGGATAAAAAAAACCCCACAGTGACCGCATACAGTTTATGCAATTAGATTGTCCCTTTGAACTTAGATCTTGGGATCTCCAATTAAGGTAGGGTTTTCCTTCACATAACACCTTCAATTTTCCATGGGTTTTGGTCTCATTCCTTTAGATATTTTCTGTAACACCCCCAACCCGGATACAAATCTAAGGTGTCACATTGACTTTTCAAATCATTTACTTTTACAAAATAATTGAAAAGTTCAAATTCACATTAAAATGAAACTGAATAATTTACATTAAATACAATCAAATAGGTTTACAAACCAATCCGAGCATATACGATTCAAACATTTAATTACATGTCAACAATATTTTAATACAACAAAAGAACCTACTGTTTAAATCGCTTCTGATTTGATCCTTGGTAGAGATAAGTTGTCCTGACTTCCTATCCTTGTTCCTCTGGCTTCTTTGATCCTATGTGTGAAACACTCACACGCTAAGTCTTTGACTTGGTGAGGCATATAATGCATGAATAAAACATTAAAATATGTAATCATGTAATTAACATTTATAACTAGCATAAGTACAAAAACTATCATACATTTCATCAGACAAGAATATATAACATTATGTACTGTTTATTCACATTATTTCTTTTAATAGCCAACAGTACATTCTTGAGAACTTAAGGTATGTGAGTGCATTGAGGTTGTGCACAAATGTTGTCACCACAACTCGTATAAATTGCATCGAAGTTTCACGTAGAAATTGCACCGAAGTGCCATATAGAAATTTCCCGAATGACAACATAGTATTGTCTCGAAGGACCACGTAGAAATGTCCCGAAGGACCGCGTAGAACCCTCGACTCTTGGCATGCCAATTATACCCTTAGCTCTCATATCACATACTTATGGGCTTTATCTTGTATACCGTTTCACATAGCTTATCACATAGACATATATTCACATAGTTTGTGTCTTATTCTCATATATCAACATAGATCATGTAACACATAGGATGATATGTAACATATAGCTCATATATATCAGTGCATGTAACATATAGACATAAGCTTGTACTCATGTATACATAGAAATCACATCAACAATATACTTGTATTCATGAACTCATGCAACCAAAACATTGGAAATAGACTCATAGCAAGTCTTATTTCTATTTGATCATATTTTCATAGTAATATGCACTCACCTCAGCCTCATTTAGTCAAGCAAAACACTTAACACTCTTGATTGATCTTATGTCTTTGAATCATCCTGAACTTGCTTTCGATCGATATCTACACAACAATACGATTGGTATAAATATCGAAATTCATATCACTATAATCAATCCTTAATAATATAAGCTAAACGAAACACTTAATTTACAATTTCAATCTGAATAGTATCGATACCCTATGTACAGTACCGATACTTCCCTACTGTGGTATCGATATTATACTTCAGTATCGATACATTTTCTACATTCTGGAATTCGACTCTAAAAATGGTATCGATACTTAAACATTGGTATCGATACCCCTGGTACCGATACTACTGCTTCGATATCGATACTCTTTGAAGGATTCATCAACTTTTAACTTACAGTATCGATATTGTTCATCTAGTATCGATACCCAAACAAAAAAATCATTTATTTTTGTTTTGGAGTATCGATATTATTCATCTAGTATCGATACCCCTTGCCCAAAACTTACTCATTTAACCTAAAACTTTTCCAAAACTTTGCTAACTTCTTCACTTTACTCTTCTTTAAAGCCTTTAAACTCATCTTTAAAGCCTTTAAACTCAAATCAACTTATATCACTTTATCTCATCTTAACATCCAATATCTAACTAGAACTCGTGAAACTAAAAATCTTACCAAATATTCAAATTTGTTATTAATCCTCTCTAACCTCTTAAATCTCTTATTCTGACTGATGACAAGTCAAATATGACTTTAAAATCCATTTACAAACTCTCTCTCAACAATACACTAAAAAACCCCTTATATTCAATCTCTCATAACTTGCAAATCTTTTAGTTTTTACTTCCCTTTAAACTTCCTTAAGCTTTTCTAACACTTCAAGAATCAAAATCAACTTAAAAATGAAAGGAAACATTAACTTGAGACCAACTCACCTTACCAATGGAGTCATGGGTAAAGAAGAAGAAGATAGTTGAACCAAAGTCTCCAGTTTTTTCTTTACCTTTTCTTCCCTTTTTCCACGTAGATATATATAACACAAAACAATGAATTTTTAATTATTTCCTTATCTAATGACCATTATGCCCTTTCAGCTTTTAATCTTTATTATTCAATCTACACCAATAATTTTAAATTAACTCCTTGTACTTTTTAATTTTTTGAAATTGACCACAAAGTTTCAAAAACTTACATTTTAGCCACTAGACCGATTTTCGGGATATTACATTTTCTCAACTTGATATCGATTTTAACCCTTTGATTAATGGATCCGTAATGTTATCCTTTGATCTTATAAAATCAATACAAATGATTCCATTTGAGATCAATTGTAATAGTATTATATCGATAATGCATATATCTCAACTTACCATTATACATAAAGTTATATGCTCTACCAATATACGAATATTGTGGGCACAAACTTTGGCCATTCAAGAATATCCTCCAAGAAATTCTAAAGTCATTCAACTTATTCTCTAGACTTGTCTAGAGCTACAAACGCTTATTCCATTTTGGATTTGGTTATAACCGTTTTCTTGAGGATTTCTATGACATGAATCCTATTCCCAATGTGAAATATATTCACTTGTGCCTTAGATATCTTGAATATCAAATAGTCAACTGGCATCAGAGTATCATTATAATGAAGCATGATATTAGGATAATACAATCCATACTCTTGAGCATATATTAGATATCTCAATTCTCTCATTATTGCTTTTCAGAGATTTGTCATAGTGACAATATCTTTGTTTCAACCTTTCTT